GAGGAAACTCTGTCAAGGGGAGACAGCCTTTATAACACTTGGTACCCAAGTGAAGAGTGAGGGGAAGTTTATTAAGATGATCACCAGCGAGGCCAGCAGGTGGTGGTGTGCTTAAGGTACTGGACTTTCGCTTGGCTGACCATGGTTGGAGTTCCAGATCAAGCAGCTCGTAACTCATGTTGGGCATGTATGCATGGGAACCCAAAATCCTGAGAGGAGAATGGAAGAGGAGATATTGCCATGTGGCCAAGACCTTGGGGCAGGGTGGCAATTTCTCACTTTCTGTCTCTTTATCTGTTCCTCTGGCAAGTGCATGCACCTTACAGCAAAAATCTCTCAAAGAAAAAGAAAAAAAAAAAAAAGATCACCAGCTAGTCAGGATGGTAGTATTTGTTTCCAACCACAACCTTGAGCTCACTCATAGAGCAGGGGAAGTGTACTAAAGGTAGATCCAGTTCCTGGTCAAAGGCAGGAAGCACCAAGGAAGCATCTGGTCCACACAGCAGTGGGATCACTATCAAACTGATTGCAAGTGTTTATGACCTGTTACTAGGCTCCCAGATCACAAAAAGAAATCTACTTCTTAACCTTTTTATGTTATTTTATTTCATTTTCTTCTGGGCACTTTCCTCTTTGACCTTATTTACTATGCACATTCCATTTTCCCCTCTTCCTGGTTTAATCTCTAACAGGCTCATTTTCTGTTTCTGTTCCTGATTTCCTCTCAATTTCTTACCTCTTTCCCAAACCTTTTTCTATTTATAGCAACCTTTCATTGTGGTAAGAATACTTAACACGAGGACCAGAAGATGGTGTAATGGCTATGTCGCTGGACTCCCATGAGTCAAATGTGGTTCGAGTCCCGGACTCAGTGGCTTAAACTCACACAGGGCATGTGTGCATGAGTGCCCAAGATCCCGAGAGGAGAATAGAGGAGAAGGGATTGTGGCGTGGCCATCCCCCCTGGAGGGGGGGGGCAGTGATTTCTCACTTTCTATCTCTCTGTCTCTCTCTCAGTCTTTCTGGTGAGCACACGTGCCCTACAGCAAAAACAAAAACAAAACAAAACAAAACAAAACCCTATCAAAAATAAAAAAAGGGAATACTTAACATAAAATCTATCTTCTTAACAAAATTTTAAGTGTATAATACATTGCTGTTGACTATAGGTACAACATTGTGCAGGTCTCTAGAGCTTATTCATCTTAATTGACTAAAAATTTGTGCCAATTACAAATTAATTCCCTATTTCTCTTCCCCCAGCCATTGGCAACCACCACCACTCCACTCTGTATGAATTTGACTATTTTTAGATAATTTATATAAGTGAAACCATATAGTACTTGCTTTTTTTTTTTTTTTTTTTTTGACTGGCTTATTTCATTTGGCATGTCTTCCAGGTTCATTTATGTTGTCATGTATTACATACTCCTTTTTTAAGGCTTCATAGTATTCCATTGTATGTATATGCCATGTAGTCTTTATTTGTTCATCTGTCCATAGACATTTATGTTGTTTCCACACCTTGGTTATTGTAAATATTGCTGTAATGAACATAGTGTTAAAATCTCTTCAAGACCCTGATTTCCAGTCCTTCAGATAAATATCCAGAAGTGGGATTGCTGAATCACATGGTAGTTCTACTTCTAATTTTTTGAGGCGTCTCCATATTGTCTTCCATAGTCACTGCACCATTTTGCATTCCCCACCAACAGAGTGCAGGGGTTCCCACTTCTCCACATCATTATCAACATTTGTCTTTTGACTTTTTGATACTAACCATCTTGACAGGTATGAAGTGATAGTTCATTGTGGTTTGATTTGCATTTCTTTGATGATTAGTGAGATTAAGCAATGTCTCATAAACCTGTCAGCTACTTATTAGTCTGTCTTGGAGAAATATCTATTCAAGTCCTTGGTCTATTATTATTATTATTATTATTATTATTATTATTAAAGAGTTTTTGCTATAAGGCATGTGATCTCACCAGAAAGACAGAGTGAGAAAGAGAGACAGAAAGCGAAAAATCATCCCCCCACCCTGCAGTGGGGATGGCCATGAAGCATTCCCTTCTCCATTCTCTTCTTGGGATTTTGGGCACACACGCACACACACCTGGTGTGAATTTCAAGTCTCTGGTCCAGGACTCAAACTGCAGTCAGTCATGTGAGAGTATAACAATGTAATCATTATACCATCTGCTAGTCCCCGTTGGTCTATTTTTTAAACTTTATTTTTTTTTAAATTATTGAATTGTAGGAGTTCCCTATATATTTTTTTAGATTAGCCTCTTATCAGATATATGGTTTACAAATATTTTCTCCCATTCTGTTAGTTCCTTTTTTACTCTGTTGAGTGTTTTGTTTTTCTTTTTCTGTATAGAGCTTTTAGTTTGATACAGTTAATGGCAAACTTCTTTAATAAGTAGTCTGCACTCAATGTTTTCACATTCATAACTCAGCCTAATAAAAAATGGTTTCTAACCTTGTATTCTAAGACTTTACCTAAACTCTTTCCAAAACAAACACCACAGGCTGCTAATTGCCAAAATCAATGTTTTCTCAATATCCTTGTTGATCATCCTCTCCTTAAAGCATTCTCTTTTTGAGGCTATTCTCTTGGTTTCTTTATTGCAGCCATTCCATCTTTAAGATCTCCCTATTTCTAGCTGAGGAAATCATATTTATATTTGCACATGTATCTGTTTCCACCAATAAATTCTAACTCCTTAGAAGCAAAGCATCTCCTTATTAACTTGCTCTATTATTTTATTCACTTATACACCAAATATTCATTAACTGAGAACCAGGCCTTGTGCTAGGTGCTAAAGATACAACAATAGAGATGATTAGTGCATACCTTTAACAAGTGTACAGTCTGAGAGGGTGACAAAGCAAAAGGATAGAGCAGTGACACTGCAACCTGGTTGTATTTGAGATCTCTAGGACTGATTTGTTCATTTTAATGCTAATGCCTGGGTACAACCACCAGAGAGTCTAATTTGATTGATCTGTGGTCTGTTATTTTAAAAAAACTCGTCAGGCAAAGTTATGTGAAGTGATTGTGGGAAACCTCTGGGATATAGTTTTATGCAGAGGATTATGGAACATGGGAGATACAACTCGCAGATGGCACTTTTGGTAATTTCACAATGTCCTATTCCCTTTCTTCTTCCTTCCCAAATCTACTCAGATATACGCTCCTCCTCCATATTACTTAAAAGACACTGCCCTATCCCCAATTCAGGGGTAAACTCTGATTGCTCTTTCTTGGGATTAGTTTTGGCTTAGGGGAAAAATACCTCCTTCTGAACAATGCTACACAAGAGACAAATGACTATGAGAATTTGGAAAAATGTTTCGTAATTTTAAGAAAAATGTATCAGGAAAGATAGGCTTTTTCTGCTTTTGGACACTGTTGTGTCCAACTGTGATATCTGGAAATGTAGCAACCATACTGTAATCATGAAGGGAGCCACCTTGAAGCAGTACTGAGATCCAGAAAGGTGCTGGTTCCTGATGACATTACGGGTAGAGCATTCCTTACTGGAAATTCTTGCTTCCAACTTTATTTTTCTTTCAGATTTATGAGATTCAGGTTTTATGAAACATAAATGAAATTTGTATTTAGACTTGAGTATGATCCTCAAGATATCTCATTTATGAGCTCTCTATCATATTGTGAAGCAGATAGAAGAGCTTCATTATAGTAGGGCCCCAGACTTCCCAATCATGAGCAGAATAAAAGATTATTTTTATAAATCACCCAGTTTGGGGTATTTCCTAATGTTAATAGTGGAATGGACTAGAACAATGGTGAATGCAGGTTACAAAGTGTAAAGGAGAAAAATGAATTAGCAGTTCCTCAAAAAATGAGTATATGAGGGACCAGCAGTTAGCGTAATGGCTGTATCACTGGACTCCCATGTAGTCGACCGAGGTTCGAGTCCTGGACCTGGTGGCTTAAACTCATGCCAGGCGCATGTGTGTGCGTGCCCAAGATCCCAAGAGGAGAATGGAGGAGAAGGGATTGCGGCGTGGCCATCCCCCTGGGGGTGATTTCTCGCTTTCTGTCTCTCTGTCTCTCTCTTTCTGGCACGCCCTATAGCAAAAACAAAACAAAACAAAGCAAAACACCTCTCCTCCCCCCAAAAAAATGAGTAAAAATGAGTATATGAAAGTGCTGTTCACTGAAAGAGACATTATGGGAGCGAGAGAATGTTTGAAGGTTTGAGGTAACTGTAGAATGTCCAAACAGCAATTTATAGCAAGGAGTTTTTAATATTCAATAAACATTTTATTGAATAAATTAATTCAGGTGGGTAATGAAGCACTCTAGTCCAAGGAACTGTCTTTACACAGTTCATATAACATAACTTCAGTGTTCTCTAAATCAAGTAGTTTTAAACTTTATTCACAATAGAATTATGCACATGTACATGAGAGAGAGAGAGAGAGACACTCCACAGGTCTTATCACACCGTGTTCCCCTTCCTCCAGGCCTATGGATCTTGGACATTTGTGTGCATGCCCACTGAGTTTCAGGCTGATCGAGGAGGGGATTCAAATTGAGGCTGCCACGTGGGATCCGGCTACTCTAGAAGAGTGCATTACTATTAAATCATGAAGCCAGTCCAGTCAAGTATAGGGTTTTTTTGTTTGTTTTGTTTTTGTTATAGGGAGTGTGTGCTCTCCTGAGACAGATGGAAACAGAGAGAGGAAAAGTGAGAAAGCAGTCCCTTGGGGTGGGAGTAGGGGGCTAGGGGGGGTCAGTCATGTCACAATCCCTTCTTCTCCATTCTCTTAGGATTTGGGGCAACCACATACACACACCTAGCATGTTTTTCAAGCCACTAGACTGAGACTCAAACTGTGCAGTCAGCCACGTGGGATCCAGCCACTTTAAACTCCACATGCCATTTTCTGGTCCTCAAGTAAAGGTGTGATGAATTACAAAAGCTACAAACAATTTCAACATACACACGTAAACACTGACTTACCTTTGATATTGATTAAAATAGCAAGTAAATGGCTGGGAGCCGATCTCATCTTTCCAGTACTGTTGCCAACTCATAACGTTTTCCAAATTCTTCTGATTTTCTCTCTTACAGGGAGGGATATAGGAGCACTAATGAAATAGAACACAGAAAGTAAATCTATTATTCTATACAATATTGACACACGGTCCTTTTATTTTTTAAGAGTGATAGCATTATGCAGACTGTAAGTCTATTTAAGATCTACTTAATTTTTAAATATAACCAAAATACAATTACTAAGCTATATTTGTAATTTCTAGTTTGGTACAATGACAAAAAAAAAAAAAAAAACCCTCCAATAATAAAAATACAGTAAAAATAACCTTCAGTCACCAGAGCATAAGGATATTTTAGTTCCACTTAGTTATAATTCAATAGCAAATTAAAAGTAAAATACAGTGTCTCTTTTAGTAGGCCTTCTAGTTAACAGAGGGAGGCCAAAAGAAGAGTTAATTTTTACCCCTAACTCCCTTGTATGAACCTTGTTATTTTCCTCTCCCACTTTGAACTAACAATCAAGCACATAGCTCTTCTGAAGATGCCAATCTCAACTGTTAAAAGTCATTTTTTTCTCTTAATATTCTCTTAAACAATGAAATCAGCAACAAATTTGTTCTCAGGTACATAATCAATGTATTTTACTAACTAATGGTCTTTTCCTAGTCATGCCTCTGATAAAGTAGTTCTCTTAAAGGGGTTCTATTATGCTAAGCAATATAGATTGACCAGAATTGGAAAACTGCTCTTAACTCTAGATGTTAAAGTTAACCCTGAAATTCTAATTGATTTTCTCCACTTCAGTCTCTTTTAAAGCGATGAAGGTGACTCTAGCTTCTATTTATTGAGTGTTACCAATATGACAGACACTGTTATAAATGCTTACAAAGACTTAACTTTTATACTTCCTACAACAATCCTATAATGATTTCCATTTTACAGATGAGGAAATTGAGATTTTTTTTTTTGGAGGGATTTTTGCTATAGGGCGCGTGCACTCGCCAGACAGACAGAGACACAGAGACAGAAAGCGAGAAATCACCCCCCAGGGGGGATGGTCACGCCGCAATCCCTTCTCCTCCATTCTCCTCTCGGGATCTTGGGCATGCACGCACACGCGCCCGGCGTGAGTTTTAAGCCACCGGGTCCGGTACGCGAACCGCGGTCGACTACGTGGGAATCCAGCGACATAGCCATTACGCTAACTGCTGGTTCCCAGGAAATTGAGATTTTTGTCAGCTCTGTAACTAGAACTGAATTCTGTGTGATTTGAGGGTCATATCATGACACAGTGGTAAGGAAATCCCAGATGGGAAGTTCTTGGTTTAAGTCCAGAGACCTCCCTGAATAAGTCATCCAGGGATGACTGAAGGCTAGAGGTAAATTATGGCATCAAGATCTTATTGAGAGTGCTCTCTTGCGCACGCGCGCCCTTTCATTGTCTCTCTCATCCTCTTTCAATCTCTCTCTCGTTCTCTCTTTAACTCCTGGAAGAAATAAACTTTTTAAAATATTTTTTTAAAAATTCCAGTGATTTTAGCACATTCTACTCTGCTGTTTTACCAAAGTTCCTAATATTAAGTAGTAGGGGAAAAAAACTAAGTTGACAGTATAATTTGAGTCACATTATTATATGCACAGCATATCATTTTCCAACAGTTTCCATTATTTTTAGGATAATTCAAACTTTAAAAAAATTCTTTTTTAGTTTTTTCCCATAGAGTGTGTCTGCTCCCTGGAGAGACACAGTGAGAGGGAAAGTGAGAAATCAACCCTGAGGGGGGATGGCTACACCACAATCTCTTCTCCTCCTAGGATTTTGGGCACACATACACACATGCTTTGTGTCATTTTCAAGCCATGAGATCCAGGACTTGAATCATGATTAGCCATATGAGAGTTCAGTGCCTTAACCACTATGTCACCTGCTGGCCCCCAAATTCAAACTTTTAGCATGATATACAAAGTTTTCATGATCTGATCCCTGGCTGTCCTCCTCAGTCCTGGTATACAGTCACCTATGCAGTGCAGCCTCGCTGTCACAGTCACTAGCATAAGGAACTGCAGGGTTGGAGGCTACATGGCCAACTGCGGGTTCACATCCCCAGCCTGGTCAACCTGAAACACTAGGAGTGTGGATGTCCAGGATTCTGGCGCACTGAAGGGCTAGGAGGAGAAGGTAGGGGCATGAGAGTGTCCCTCTGACTCATGTGCACATGCACTCTCCATTAAAAAAAAAAAAAGAAAAGAAAAGAAAAAAAAAAAAAAACATTCACTTCTAACTAAATCGGCCATGTACTGTCACATTTACCTGTCTGCACAGTCTGTTCTCTCTCTCTCTCTCTCTTTTTAATTGACAGAGCTCACCAGAGAGAGACAGAGAAACAGGGAGAGGGAGAAAGAGAGGAAGCACCACCCCCCATGAAGCACGCTCACATCACAATCCCTTTTCCATTTCTCCATCCTGTCAGATTTGGGGCATGTATGCATATGTACTTAGCGTTTTTCAAGCTACCAAGTCTGGGATTCAAACTGTGGTTGACTATGTGGGATCTGGCTTCCTTAATCCCTAGGCCACAGGCCAGCTCCTTTCTCCTTTTAATGCCCTTTCTTCTTAATCCCTTCTTATCAAGATTCACATTTGGTATTACTTGTTTGGAGGAGCATTCTCATTCTTAATTCACGGTTCAGTACCTCTCATTTGCGCCACCAAGAACCCCCACTCCGAGACAGCACAGCTGGAATCACAGTATCACGCTGCTGTGTTGCATCACCCTTTTCCATTTGCTGGTGAGCTGAGAACAGGGACTGTTTTCCCTTCCTTTCTGTATCTTCGCAATGATGATTATGTATGGCATGGTAACGTTTTAAAAACTTGCCTGGATTAGTTAATAATACTTGGATACACTTTTAGCCAATAGGATGAAGTTACTATGACAGTGTTCAAACATTTCTAAAAATATAAATGATATAAATACATTTTAAATTTTAGTTAGGTTGCTTATTTTCTAGTACATACAAAAAAATTCACATTATGCAAATATTATTGTAATGATTGGATTACTGAATATTTATCCTCCCCACGTTTAGTTCCACTTCTATTAATAACAGTAATATTGATAACAGTAATATAAAGCTAAAGATTTCTGTGAAATTTTTTCCGAAGTAGCAGCTGGGCTTGAAAGCAATGGAGACCATTAAATAGGGCTCCAGTTCTATTATTTGTTAGGTGTTTGGTCTTGGGAAAATGACTTCCCTTTTCTGGACTTCATTTTTTTTTCTAATCTGCAAAATTTCTCAAATAATCTCTAGCTGTACACCAAGAAAGAGTCAAGCAGAAGGCAGGACTACAAATGCTATCACAGTTATTTTTCCCAGAAGAGATCTGCCCACCAGGAGGATGGCTGGGAACTCTGACTAAGCCAGCATTCCAGCCAGCAAAGAGGACAAGTGTGCTAGGTCCTTTCTTGGGGGCTTATACTTTGCATTAGGGAAATGTTCATAAGGAAACCATGAGTTTCCTATTGCTTGCATCCTATAGTGTGTAGGGTATTTCCTTTCCTTCTATTAAATTTTTTTCTACATTATTAATTGAATTAATTTTAAAAAGTGGGAGTAGCTGCTGATTTGTTTGCTCTCTCCAGGAAGAAGACATTTCCAGATTCCGAGGAAGACACTGTGAGATGTGAAAGGCTAAAATCCCACAGAGCCTTTTGTATGATGGGCAATGCTTGACACAAGAGATATACTGAACAATTTAGGGAAGAGAAATTAACAGCCAAATTTAATTAAAGCAGATTTAAATTTTTGCAAGTTTAACTCAGTTTGAAATCTTCACTGTTCAGTCTTTTGGGGGAAAATGGGTTAAAAGACATGTCTCTGCCAAATTACAACTCTTAAGATTTGACTGGGACAATCATATCTATATGCTTCTGAAAGAGACAGAAACTTTCACTGAGTGTAAAGTTTTGTAGTAGGTATGCTCACCAGAGAGAGACAGAGAAACAGGGAGAGGGAAGAAAGAGTGGAAGCACCACCCCCCATGAAGCATGCTCACATCACAATCCCTTTTCCATTTCTCCATCCTGTCAGATTTGGGGCATGTATGCATATGTACTTAGCGTTTTTCAAGCTACCAAGTCTGGGATTCAAACTGTGGTTGACTATGTGGGGTCTGGCTTCCTTAATCCCTAGGCCACAGGCCAGCTCCTTTCTCCTTTTAATGCCCTTTCTTCTTAATCCCTTCTTATCAAGATTCACATTTGGTATTACTTGTTTGGAGGAGCATTCTCATTCTTAATTCACGGTTCAGTACCTCTCATTTGCGCCACCAAGAACCCCCACTCCGAGACAGCACAGCTGGAATCACAGTATCACGCTGCTGTGTTGCATCACCCTTTTCCATTTGCTGGTGAGCTGAGAACAGGGACTGTTTTCCCTTCCTTTCTGTATCTTCGCAATGATGATTATGTATGGCATGGTAACGTTTTAAAAACTTGCCTGGATTAGTTAATAATACTTGGATACACTTTTAGCCAATAGGATGAAGTTACTATGACAGTGTTCAAACATTTCTAAAAATATAAATGATATAAATACATTTTAAATTTTAGTTAGGTTGCTTATTTTCTAGTACATACAAAAAAATTCACATTATGCAAATATTATTGTAATGATTGGATTACTGAATATTTATCCTCCCCACGTTTAGTTCCACTTCTATTAATAACAGTAATATTGATAACAGTAATATAAAGCTAAAGATTTCTGTGAAATTTTTTCCGAAGTAGCAGCTGGGCTTGAAAGCAATGGAGACCATTAAATAGGGCTCCAGTTTTATTATTTTTTAGGTGTTTGGTCTTGGGAAAATGACTTCCCTTTTCTGGACTTCATTTTTTTTTCTAATCTGCAAAATTTCTCAAATAATCTCTAGCTGTACACCAAGAAAGAGTCAAGCAGAAGGCAGGACTACAAATGCTATCACAGTTATTTTTCCCAGAAGAGATCTGCCCACCAGGAGGATGGCTGGGAACTCTGACTAAGCCAGCATTCCAGCCAGCAAAGAGGACAAGTGTGCTAGGTCCTTTCTTGG